ATGCCCCCTTCCTCCTGCCCTCGCCCGCTCCAGGCGACCCGCTGAGAGATGGACTTGGCAGGCGTGCTGCTGGCGTTGCTCCTCGTGCTGGTGCTGGTTGTCTCTCTGCTCTCCAACCTCCTGGTGCTGCTATGCTTCGTCTACAGTACGGAGATCCGCAAGCAGGTCGCCGGGGTTTTCCTGGTGAACTTATCCTTTTGCAACCTGCTCCTCACCGTCCTGAACATGCCTTTTACCCTGCTGGGGATCCTGAGGAACCAGCAACCCCTCGGGGGCTGCGTCTGCAAAGCGGTGGGTTTCCTGGAAACTTTCCTGACTTCCAACACGATGCTGAGCATGGCAGCGCTCAGCATCGACAAATGGATTGCCGTGGTGTTCCCCTTAAGCTATACCAGCAAGATGCGGTATAAGGACGCTGTGATACTGATGGGCTACTCGTGGCTCCACTCCCTCACGTTCCCCTTGGTATCCTTGTTTTACTCGTGGGTAGATTACAACAGCGTTTATGCCTCTTGCACCTTGCACCTGAAGGAAGAGACGGAGCGGAGAAGGTTTACAGTGTTCACCATCGTCTTTCACTCCACCAGTTTCATGCTGTCGCTGGTGATCTTGTGCTTCACCTATTTAAAGGTGTTGAAAGTTGCCCGGTTCCACTGCAAGCGGATAGACATTATTACCATGCAGACTCTGGTTTTGCTGGTGGATATCCACCCCAGGTAATGCGTGCGTGTTCGTATTCACAGCCCCGGGGCACTTGCGGTAGGTGCCCCAGGTGGAGAGGATGTCCTGCCTCCCCAGTACCCTTTCCTGCGCTCCTGCCTGCCCCAGCCACATGGCGAACGCTCCTGCCTCTAGTTTCAGACGCCGCTTATAGTGCCAGCAGACGGTGGCTTGTGCATTTGTAGCCTGCTTTGTTTAAACGCTAGTCCCGCTCGCCGGGTGCTTCCACTTGCCCGAGCTCTCTTTAAGAGGGAGCCCCTGCTTTGGTGAGTGCGATCGTCCCCAGGCTCGGCGGGGCCGGGGCTGCCCTCCCCTCCCCCGGGAGCTGCCACCCTGCGGGGCCGGGGCTGCCCTCCCCTCCCCCGGGAGCTGCCACCCTCCCCTCCCCTCCCCCGGGAGCTGCCACCCTCCGGGGCCGGGGCTGCCCTCCTCTCCCCCGGGACAGGGTCTCTCGGGCCGGGAGCGAGTCCTCTCCCCTGGGCTCACACCTCCCCTCCTCCCTTCTTGCCGTAACCCACCGACCGCTCTTTTCCCTTTGCAGCGTGAAGCAGCGCTGTCTTAACGAGCAGAAACGAAGGCGGCAGCGGGCCACCAAGAAAATCAGTATTTTTATAGGGTCGTTCGTGATCTGTTTTGGTCCTTACATTATCACCAGGTTAGTATCGCCTGTTGGGGTGGGGGACTTTCCTCTCATGCTCAAGTGCCCGGGGGGGCTACAGCTAAATTTGGGCTGCCTGTCGGAGACCCGGGGTGGTTTCTGAGGTGCAGACCTAGCGCACGCTCACACTCACACACTCACACTCACACACTCATGTTGCCCCTGCCCGCACGCCCAGCCCGCTGGGCGAAGCCACGGCAGCCTCTGGCTCTCCTTCCCTCATTGCAGCCAGGTCTGGGTGCCTCTGCCAAGAGCAAGAGGCTTTTAGGACAAGTACCAGGAATTAATTAGGTGCCAGTGGGAGATGAAACCAGTTGAAAAGACTTGCCACCCTTACTTATTAGCACAACCGGAGCAATAGAGAGCAGGAAAGCAGAAAAGCAGACATCTTTTCCTGATTAGCTCAGGTCTTTTTTTTTTTTTTTTTTAAAGGCGTAAGGCCAAGTTTTCTCCTGTTGGAAGCTGAGGTGACATAATTTAAATTTATCCAGGCTGATAATTTGTCAGATAAGCTTTGTGTCTGGAAACTTTAGTCTGTAGATACATCACTAATGGTGCAGCAAGGCCTTGTGATGAGGTGTAAGAGATATCTCCCAGGAAAACCAATAATTAGACTTTTAAAATGTATAGGAAACACCATGCTCCTCAACTGGCCACAATTATTGGCATTCACCCTGATGGTTTGCACCTTTTAAAGTATTTATGCATTGTTCTCATTCTGTACTTGTATAGTCTTTATACAACATATGGGTATTATTTTTAAATCTTGCATAAATCAGTGAGCAGGAAGCCAATGTAACTATACTGAATTGCAGCACCTCAGGATTTAGCCTTGCATCTCTAAACTAAAATGGGCTTCATCTTTCACAAGTGATCTTTTACAATATTTCCCACTTCACAATGTCTTCAAGCCACCCTTGAAGAGTACTGACTTCTGTCGAGGAAAGTATACTAGTCTGCAAAACCACCCTAGTGAGGGCTTCCTCAACATTGCTACCAAGCTGCCAGGGTCTGCAGCCACACCAGCTTAAGGAATTGGCCAGTTTTAGCACACTAATTTTACACAGTCACATATACATAGGCCATTTATGATCATTGCCATTGCCCTTTTCTTACACAGGTAGGGGGACAGATTTAGTCCAGTAAGGACAATGTTTTTTAATCTTTAGGATGACATTGATTTCAGTTCCCATTGGTATGTTGAAAGGGATTCCTGACTGATTGCCTGGATAACTCTATCTTTTTTTCTGCAGCTGAAAGGATTATTACAAGTATTAACATTACGTCACAAAGTTAAAAGGTTAATTGATCACTCTTCGGTACATTCTGCGTCGTTTTCTAATAACTTTTGCCATAATCTGGATATAATTATATTGAGCAAAGTGGATTTTGCCGTCATCTTTCCATCTGAACATTATCAAACTCAGCAAATTCCAGCATTGCCACATTTTTCAGGGTGGAGATATTTCTCATAAACTTCTAAAATAGAAGTGACTTCCTTCTTCAGACCTTGCATTTGGCAAATGTGAGATGGTGCATTTTCTGTGTGTGACACACTGGTAACTCATGTGTCACTAGAGAGAAGACTGAGGACTGGTTTATGTAAATATGTGTGTCAAGGTGCAGCTTCTGTCTCCGTCACAAGGACCAAGCGGGTTCAGTGACAGCAAAATAGGAAGTACCTGGGGAGGACATCGTCAAAGGCTCTTTGCCTTAAAGGCAAGACAGTGTCCAGGCAGCACTAGATAAAAGGTGGTGGTGGAGGTGAGGTTGGAGGACTTGCTGCCATGCCCATTTCTCCATTCTTCCCCCCGTTCTGGTTTTTAAGGGGGTGGCACTGAAGCAACCTCTACAGAGACAATGTGTAAGATATCCTCCCTGTTTTCTTGCTCTCTGGCCTGGTGACTCAGGTTGCATTGTGAGCTCAGTATTTGCTCCTCATTTCAGAAATGTGAATGAGATTATGATCATTAGCAATATATTCATCTGTTCACTAAGAGCCGACAGATTAATTTCATCTTTTTTGTAACAGCACTGAAAACAAGAAAATGATACTAAGATGCATTCAGATGGATATTTCTAGGGCTGACTCGATTTGGCCAGGCCCTTTATCTTATTAAAATCTGTGTAATTTTTCTTCTGTTGGCTTTAGTGTAATTATGTTTGGGCCCATAATACATTAAAGGGAACACATAGTAATACATCTATTTTCATGACAGAAAGATACCTTACTCTTCTTATTTAGTGTCTTTACAAAAGCATCAATTGTGTAAATATCAAATGTATATTTCTTGTATTAGGATGATATACAGGATAGGATAAATGTAAGCAACCATGCAGCAAGTGTCATTTATTGTACATTCATTAATTTCTCACATTCTGTGTCTTCCTGTTCTCTCTATTTTGAATTCACTGGAATTTTTTCCAAGCAGCTCCAAACAGAAGTAATCTGTTTTTTAAATGCACTTCCCATAGGAATGATTTTGCTTTTACGCATACAGATGAGAAATTTTCCTGTCAGAGTTCAACCACTTGTTGCAATGTTCAGTCCTAGGGGTGGTAAGTCAGCTTTTCTATGTAGAGGCATCAGAACATCTTCCAAAGTCAATGCCTTGCAAGTTGGGAGCTCTGCACTTTGGAAAGAGGCCAGAAGGTTCTTCAAGCCTTGAGAAAGCTTCTGATCTTACATTGTCACACAGTGATGTTTTTGGGTTACAGAAAAGGGCTATTTTATCTCATGGTAATTTTTTTTTTTCTTCAAGAACGCATATAACAAAATGATATGTTCTTGCTCCTGCAAAAGGTTTCACAAAAGATGTACAGATAATAAAAAGTTCTCACTCTGTTCCTTCCACCTTCCTGGAGAGTTTGCCCACTGCAGATGAGCTGTATGCCAGGCATTTTCTGGAACAGCCTGAAGGTTTACTCTCACTTCTGTGGAAAAATTGTTTAAGTTGCAGTTTCTACCCCCATGATTAATACACCCATCTCAACTGAGGTGCTCAGGCCACTAATCATCCGTGAAGCACAGAGCAGGAGATGCAGGTCTGGAGACAGCTGACTGGTCATATAATGATGATAAAAGTGGTGTCTCCTTGTTTTCTTTGGCCAAACTAATGGTCAGCCAAGTACAAGCAAAAACTTATACAGGTAAGTAGATGCACTCCTAAGCATACCACGGGATTGCAGGTGCCACCCAAATCTCTCTGAGATACTGTCGTGTTGTTCTTCATACTACAATGGTCTGACAAGAATCTTCTTTGCATATGTGATAATTCACAGCAGTGGTGTAATGCAGATTGACTGTTCTGTATCAGTGGATTCAGTGATCTAGACCAGGTTTCTGCTGTCATTTGAGATGCTGCATAGTATCCAAAACCTCTACACAGGCTGGCAGATATGACATGGGACCTAGAGGACACCCACAACTTCCAGGAGCAGCAGCCTGATCCCAAGGGTGTTATGCCATAATTTTTCAAGTGTCATTAGACAGCTGTACTTAGGCACCTGAGTTGAGTGAGCCTGGATGCCCAAGTCACACGTGTCTATCTCAAGCTTGCCATGGGAGAGAAGTAGTCAGTTATGTCAGCAACACTTTGACCACTTACCAGCACAACTCTCTAAATTCAGAAAGTGAGCAATAAACTGCAGGACTTTCTTATCTCCGATGTATGGGAGCATTAACGTTGGAAACACACTTTTTCTCTCTTTCCATAGAGGGAATGATTCTTGTCTCCCAGTGGCCTTGCTAGGGAAGTTCACTTTACCTTTATTGGCTCCAAGGAGCAAGTAAGCACAGGGCCCTTCTCCTGCAGGGACTGTGAACCGTAAGAAAATAAGTGTTACTTTAATGTTTCATGAAGCATGAGTTGAGCACTGGGCTCAGTGTGAATATAACACTCAAGTGTTTCCATCTCTCTTTAATGTTTAACAGGTTGATAGAGCTTCTTCCTTTTGTTACCATAAATTACTACTGGGGAATTATAAGCAAGTGCCTCACCTACAGTAAGGCTGCATCAGATCCATTTGTTTACTCACTTTTACGTCAGCAGTACAAAAAAGTTCTGATCAACATCGTCAACAGGATACTTAAGAGGGACCTGTATCCGTCATCGGGGTACAACAGCTCTCTCGACACTGAAAATGATTACTGCTTGCACAGAACAAACTAACAACATGAAAAGCATTCCCCTTTGGGTGAGACTGGTGTTTGCTGCTGCTGGAAAGCTGCCTTTTCCCTCATGCTGACAGTGGTGACAGTATCTGCAGGGTGTGAAAGCTGCATTAATGCAATGCATTTCATTGTGGACTTCCATGAAAGGCTCTTCCCTGGTCTGCAGCCAAGTACAATATATGGCAAAACCTTGTCCCAGGGTGAACGGAGTAGGCTTGAAGGGTTTTAAGGAAGCCTTTGGAAGATTTGCAGAAGCTTAGAGATCTTTTAATGTTTCATGTCTGAAGACTGGGTACGTCTTGGAGCGTCCCACATCAGATGTGATATTCTAGTGTCTTCTGGGACCACAGAAATCTCTGGGTTGGAAGAAGAGGTTCAGAGTCCTCCGTGCTGCGCATGTAACTTGGCAGCCCAGGATCTGCTCTGTTAGTTTTGAACATTACAAGTAAGTCTTTTAATTGATTGATTTATTGTATTGGTGCCTCAAGTGAGTCAGCACTTTGAATCTGAGATTGTTGTTATTATTATTTATTACTAGGCATCATGATTGTAACATAGCCTTTAGGAAGTGGTACATATATTTGATATGCCAGTACTCTATCAAGCATAACCAAAGTCCACATATCTGAGTTACTAATATTTAGCACTTCAGTGGTATGAGATTACAGTAATTGCAGCAACAGCAATGAAGACATATATGGAATTTAGCTAAATAGCACTGTAGTTCCATCACTGAGCTAGTAGTCCTATTCAAACAAGCTTTTATTCAGAAAAAAAAAACAAAACAAAACAGACAGTAGAAGTGACAGATACTACTGTGTTTAAGACATATTACTTCAGAAGTTATCTGTTTTCGAAGAACAGGCTAAAATATATTAATTCTTTTTAAGGGATACGTAATGTGTAAAATATTTCATGCATTGGCTATATTTGGTGGATTGTAATAACATTATACAATCTTTTCTTTTATAATGATCAATTAATCTGGTGATTTTAACTAATACCAAGAGATACCTGAGAGATATTATAATAGACCTGCTGCCAAATGCCCAGAAACACAAAGCTGCTTTATTATTATATGTATTTTTCTCTTTTATTTATTTTTAAATCTAAACAGGCTTTGGAAAAATGTGGGAATTATTTTTGAACAATATTCCTTTGATTATATAAGACACAAAATATTCTATGGCATTCAATAAGCTACTATTTTCTAATCAAGTACATAAAGGGGAAATTAAAGCAATTCTAAAGTATATTTTAAGAAAAAAAAAAAAAAAGAAGACAGTAAAGAACACTTATTTTTATGTAACATGGACTTGACCCTATTAAGCATTGAGAAGGCTATTCCCGGTCAAACTAAGCATATAAACATGTGATTAGGCACAAATATAATTTCCTTTGAAGTGAACAGCTCTTTTCCCATGCTGAAATTAAGTACACTCTTAACCATTTTGTAAAATCAGTGTTGAGCAGTCAGCACATCGAGACTGTTTTTCTCGCCACCCACAATGAGGAAGGAGAGTGTTTTATTGCAATCCCATTGAAGTCAAGGAAAGGTGATGCTGCATAACATATACAATGTTCTCTCCTGCTTTTAATCTCTGAGGCCTTTCTGATGCTTTTTTTTTCCCCATGCAAGTACCTTAGGCCTCTGTGTTTTGCATCTCTAGTTATGCCTGTGTTTAAATTGAGTGTACTATAATGGTTTTGTCTTAGTAAAGTATTTGTATTCTCTCCAATTTTGTGTAAATACAGTATTTCAGAAAAAAAAAAAAAAAAGTTGTCTATGGAATCTTTCCAGTTTTACTGTCTTCCTGTCTGCCTCCACATGCCTCCCGCCTCTGCCGTGCCACTACAAAAATCTGATGCTTCAGTCTTTCATTTCAGCTGCAACATAAGGACCAGATAGATCTCTGGGGGGTGGGAGGGATGCTAAATTTTCAGTTGTGTTTTAGTCAGTTTTGTGCCAAAAAGTTTTTATAGACTACAGCATTTATCGATAGACTACAGCATTTATCTGTGAATAAACATGAGTTTAACAATACCTACAATTGTTAGCTTACCTTTGGTTTCCTAGAACAAGATGGTGCTCACTTTAAGAAAATATGTTACATATAGTTAAGTGTATTAAATTGTTAACTCCAAGAGAGACGAATGAAATAAAGCTTTACTCTGATTTTTTTTTCCTGTCTTAGTATCAAGAAAACAGTAGAGGAGAAAAAAGTAATAATAAACTTTAAAGCTGTTACAGTAATAAACTTCTAAAGCCATTAAACTATAAGTCACATTTCAAAGGTACAAACCAGAACATAGTTAAACTGATACATATGCTATTAAGTTAATTAATGAAGCTTATTCATACCAGTTGAGGTTGTTGTCGTGCACACACTTTACAATACCACTCAACCTCACAAAGCATTGAACAGTTCTGGAGGTGCTCAGGTCTAGGTGGGGGGGAGGGGGCAGGGGGAAAGAAGAAAAAATTTTGAGCCTGCCCTGGGTCTTGCAGAACACCTTTTAGAATTAATTTCCACAGAGAATTAGGAAGCTAAGCTCTACAGTATGCTGTGAACCAGAAACTAAGGAATGGTGGAGAACTGTCCTACTCTCAGTCTTGATTTGCAATGAAGTTTAGCTGCCTTGTTTAGCATTACCAAAAGGCATCTTCCTCTGCTCAGTATGCCCAGACAGTTCTGCAGGTACATTTTTCTTTCTCCCTTTTTCTCACCATCCACTCCCCACCAGAGGAGGGCTTGCTCTACCTTTCTATCCAAGCAGGAAGCGTTCAGTGAGAGGTCTCAGTTTCATTCCCCCAGCTTCCTGATGCAGGTGGAATTCTTGTTAGCTTGGTGCTTCATTCACCATGCTCTGGGTTATTTGGGGACAGGAGGAGGTATGCCCCCATTTTTTCGAATGCTGCACAGAGGATCAAAGGATTTAGTGCTGTACTGGAGGTGAGAACGTATATCTTACATGGTGGGAGTGTTCACCAGAGGTGGCAAGGTTGTGGATTCCCCTTACCAACACTTTATATGAAACAAACACTGGATACACAGTCCTGACAGTAGGGTTTAGTTTGGATAAGAAGATTTTCAACAAAGCTAAAGTGTGATATTCAAAAAAGCATCTTGACATTCAAGCACTCTCGCCAACTCAAGGTAATGCTCCAGGAAACTTTATCTGGATTTCCTGCCCAAAGGCCTGGAGTGGCTTTTGCTAGGAGGCAAGAGACTGGCAAATACCTGGCAGGTGTGTGGGGGAGCTGGAAATGCCACAGGGGTCAGTGGGAACGGCCTGATATTGCGACTTCCCTAGCAGAAGGAGCTGTCACCCACCTGTGGCTGCTCAGGGAAAATGATGGCGAGATCCAGGATGGAGTTTTGAATCTGCCTTTTCAGAGGAAGGAAATGAGTCTGCACATCCCATTTCCTAGGTGAGTGCTCTGATGGTTATTTATTACAAAGAGAGTTGCTGCTTCCAAAGGAAGTAGAAACTTTTTTTTAATTTTTTTTTTTTTTTTGCCTAGCACCTACATTGCAAGTAAACTCTGAGACTGCTAGTCAGACTGAGTTTCTGAGGCAATAAAGTTCAAGTAGTGCTTAGACTACAGTTTCCCAAAAGAGTTTAGGTATGGCCTGGATCCCAGCCTGCTAAATCCTGACAAGACGAATATGTTTCAGTCCATGTGCAAAAACAAAACTAGTTTTTCTCTTGTTGTGTGATACTGAAAACTTACGTGTCTCTGAGCCTAGATGTCAGCTGAGCAATGAGGACCTTGAATTCTGTGAATTTTCACTTCACAAATTCCTTAGCCCCACTGAAGAGCAGGTACTTTATTCACCTGGGTAAATCTGCACCTAATAAACCTTTGCAAATAATCTGCATAGCTCAGTGATTACTGAGTACATATTTACCTTATCTTAACATGAGTAATACTGGTACTGAACCTGAATTTCAGAATCAATTGCAATGTTAGGCTTATTACATGGTTAAGCATGTGGGAACCAAAGTTCTTTCATGCGAGTGCTCTTATACAACTAGAGAGCGATTGTGCTCTTTACACTTATGGGTTAGAATTTCAGCTCTTTCAGAAATTTAACAGCCTTGAGTCTTGTTGAATAAAATGACCTGTGACAAGATGTTCAAACTCATCTAGGTAAAACACTTTAAAAAAGACAACAACAACAACAAAAAAAGACCAAAACCCAAACTGAAGAGGACTATCCTGTATGAGTGGGAAGGTTTGACTGCATCACCTAGAGGGCATATTTCCTGCTGTATTTAGGGCTTTTTCCCTCCAAAATAATTACGTGCACTTGTGCACACAGAACGAACCAGCAACTGTGTGTCTGTCTTAAAAACCGTAGCATATTTCAGGATTGTGAAGAGCAAATGGCTTGTTCAGTCTGGTTCAGGAGGACACCTGGTTTGTGGGAGGTGTTAATTACACAAGTAAATTAGAGGTTCTGCTTTTTATTTTTTGAAAGCAAGTCCAATTAATATTTAATGGCTCAGCTGGAGACACAGTAGAGATGACCTTAAGAAAGGTTGTAAATATATGAATATCTTTCAGTGCCAGAAGCTTGGGAGAGCAAAATGTCACCTGGCATAGTATATGCAACCAGCTCCTTCTCTGAGCTGGAACTGCTTTTCCCTGTGGCTTATGAAAGTAACACAGGCCAAATGACTGGTCCCATTTCTGCATATCCCTGGTTCTTCCCACCTTACCAGTAGGTTTTCCTTGACAGAACATGAGGGCTCATGATGCAAACTAAGTGCTTCTGCTCTTTTCTATAAGTGAGCAATGCATGAACCATGAGTTGCTCCCAGCCAGGTTTCTCATACATTCTCTATGCAAATGAAACATATTGGAAAGAATGTTATGTTAGATGTCATAGGGTCCATATGGTTAAAGGTATTTTTGAGTGTTGAGAACTACAGATCATTCCAGTCCACTCACACCACTTTTTTTTAAGCAGATGCCTTCAGAAATGTTAT